GCTTTTTTTGTTTACAGAGTAGAGAGTTCAGAAAAGCTTTTCTTAGACAGTCGAGAGGTGAGCTTAATATCCAGTCTCTAGATCTAAATGTAGATCTATCTAAACGGGCCCTCCCTGCATCATAAGTGTGAACAGAACAACCGGTAAATTTTTACTTTTGAAGTGTCTACGTACACGGTAACCGGGCACCTAGTCTCAGTATCTATGTACATGGTAACCGGGCGCCTAGTCTCACCTAGTCTCAGTATCTACATACACGGTAACCGGGCACCTAGTCTCACCTAGTCTCAGTATCTACCGTACGTACACGGGTCACCGGGCACCTATTCTCAGTATCTACGTACACGGTAACCGGAATGATAATAAATCAATATTTGTCCTGTGCTGTCACTTGCAAAAAAAAAAGAAAGTCATACAAGCGTCTTGTCGGGCTTGCCATCGTGACCAGTGAGTGAACCTGTGCGTGCGCATCACATTGTGAGTACCGTTTGGGGTCGCCAAAGTTCTTTCAAAGTCTGTGCGCTGGGAAGTATAGGGCTCTGGAATGGGGTATTATTGATTTTTTTTTAACGGTACAGTCAGGGGAGCGGTGGAGATGGCTACATCGGATGACAAAAACTGAACTGCCCGGTTACCGTGTACGTGACAAAGAGACTACGTGCCCGGTTGCCGGTTACCGTGTACGTAGATATGGAGGCTACATGCCCGGTTACCATGTACATGACACTGAGACTAGGCCTATGTGCCTGGTTGCCGGTTACCGTGTACGTAGACACTGAGGCTAGGTGCCCGGTTACCATGTACGTAGACACTACTTTCACTCCCGCCCACAGGTGCACTGCTTTGGGGGGTCAAACTGCAGTACACTGTTTGCTATAGAGATCACACATAAATATAAAGCCACTAAAACTGTCGCAAATCAAATATTTTCAAGAAAATTTCAAATTTAACCATAAAATATCAAGTTATGGGTTAAAACAGGCGGGCACGCCCCCCTGAACCCCTCAGATTTTCTTTTACCCCAGGAGGGCAGCCCTCCTGGAACCCCCGATTAATTCAAAGCACATCTATCTCGATTAAGAACAATCAAATATATTTCAAAAACTATTAATTTACTACGGAAATTATTGATATATTTCATGTTCAGCTCATCAATATTTAGTAGAAAATGGACAACTGGTAGCTAAGTGTGAGACGGGAGGGAGAGTAAAAAATACCGAACAACCAAGTTGAGTTGACCTTGCCGGGGGCAAAGTTGTCGACCAATGAGATTGCAATCATAGCGATCACGCACTCTGGGCTTGCTGGGGGAAGAGGTGTTGGGAAGAGGCCATGGCTGTTGATTTTGGGCGATGTGAAAAAAAAAAAATAATAGCAGAAAAACTATTCTGGTTAAAATCCCCCGACGACAGTATGATTATAATGTAACCTCCTTACACTCACTTAGTTGAATCCGAATAATATTTAATAAAACATTTTTTGGGGGACCTGAGTACAAATAGATCAAACCCTTTTTCGGATTCAAGTCCAAATAGATTATAAAAAATTTGATCGGACTCGAGTCCGAAAAGAGCTGGCCTTAAAAAAAAAAAGTAGGCTGGATCGACCAGTCTTTAACGGCAAAAGTACTACTTACACAACCTCGTTAAAAACAAGATTGAAAAATTTCATTTTTGGTGGTAGTGGGATGTCGAAAGGCAAAGTTATTAACTATAGGTTAATATGAGGTTTTGAAGGTTTTATTTTTTGTATTTTTGGGGATTTTTGTTTTTTTTCACTGATGCCGTTCCCCTCCAGTCACCTTGTCAACTCCAACTCATGACCATGCCTCTATATGTATCTCGTCTGGGGTCATGCAGTCCGCCATATATCTTGACTAGCTGCTGTTTGCTGGCGTCGGTGGCCTAGTGGTTAGGCTCTCGGACTCGCAACCGTAAGGTCGTGGGTTCGAATCCCGTCAAGGGCCCGACGTTGTGTCCTTGGGAAAGGCACTTTGCACGAATTTTCCTCACTTCACCCAGGTGGGAATGGGTACCCGGCTATAGACAGCGAA